CTGTCTCTCAGCATACATGAAGCGAAACCCACCTTTGCCACATCAGGGCAAGAAATCGTGCGCTGGGAGTTCTCTATATCCATCAACCATCTTCGGCTAACAATGGGGTCCCTAACCCCGAAAAACTCCAGCGCCCTGCATGCCTTAAACTCTCGGAACGAGGGAGTTCGGTCCCCGACCTGGCCCGCAACAATCTCGGCTCTGAATTCCCTGAGCCTCTCCTCCATGATCTCCATCATACCCTCCTTGACTATCCCAAAAATCACTGGGGTAGTGTCAAGGATGCCCCTGATCACCTCGGCTGTGATGAGCTCACACAGCCTCTCGTCGATAGGCTCAGTACCATCGCCCGATCCTGATCCTCCAGATCCATGTCGTGTCACCACCATACTGAACTGCAATGTCATATCATAATGGTCAAGATATCCAAAAAGGGGATCATCCCATACCAGTCCTCCTTAGAGCTTCCAGATCTAACATCAGTTCGGGTACAGGTCTTATGCTTTTAGTAGTACGAGCCCAATACTACCTTCCACACCTACATGTACCTTCCCCAAGGCTCCACTTGATAACTCTTGTTTGTCCCATAAAACAACAACATATCCCACAAGCTACAATCATCACTCAAATCCTAGGCTATCCTAAGATTTGCTCTACCCACATCAATCAGACCAATCATAACAGGTTGCCTTTATGCATGCAAATTATACATAGAAAATGATCAAATAGACTTTCGAATAAGAGATTCTACCCTAGGACCACAACCAGACAAGGAACATGAAATAAATCCTAATCAATCATTCTAAGGCTATAAGCTCCTAACCGTATACAATTTTAAAAGCATACATATAGCAAGATCCATACGATTATCATAAATAACATGGGTAACATATTGGGGAACTACTTACTTGGCTCAGCCGATCACGCGTGTTGCACTCTCTTCTTTTCTATTCTTAAAAAGTTTTTAACATTTATTTTTTTGAAAACATTTTACCATTTCCTTACTTTCCGTCCCGAGACACCCGAGATTGTACCCGAATCGCTCAAACCAAGGCTCTGATACCAACTTGCGACGATCCAATTTTCAAAATAAAATTTTCATTTTTAATTAAGCAAAATACTTTCCCTAAACCATGAAATCCCAAATATAATTGTTTTCAAATTCGTAACAATAACAATTTTATTTCAAATCATCAGATGTCCCATAAAAACGTCTGAGAGAGAGTGCACGCCACGCCATCAAGCCTTGTCCTTGCCCTTGGGCTCAGATGTACTTGAAACAAATCCACGAACTGTAAGCTAATGCTTAGTGAGTTCCCCAGAGCATACCCCACACACACAGTCCACATAACACATATCATATTAGCTATAAAAGCTACATATATCACATACGCCATGCATACAAACATATAAGGAAGCCATGGAAACCCTTCAGGGTCTTACACCTAGTGCCACTAGAACCCCCACGTGGTCTTAACTACCTGCCATAGGAACCCCCACATGGTCTTCCTGCCATGGAAACCCCCACATGGTCTTCTCTAACTGCAATGGGAACCCCCACATGGTCTTCACTACCAAGAAAATATCATACAAACTAAGCATGCAAATATACTAGGATGTCATGGAAACCCTCCAAGGTCTTACACCAAATGCCACCGGAACCCGCACGTGGTCTTAGTCTACTGCCATGGGAGCCCCCAGGGTCCTCCATGCAAATTTCATACTAACATAACGAATAATCAATCGACAATCCACATATCATAAAATGGGTCAACCTTAGTGCCTTAGACCCATTAATATGGTAAGAAGACTCACCTCTCGAATGCTGAACTGACAAGCTAAGATCAGATAAATCCCACACACTGCTCCAACTCAACTACCTATAATTATCATGTGATCAACTCGTCACAATTCTGGATTACCATAATTATCCTCAAAGTCATCCATGGTCAACCCTGGTCAAAGTCATGGTCAACAGTCCATGTTGACCTCAACTCGTCGAGTGCATCCAGCAACTCGTCGAGTTCCTCCCGAATCCATTCCAATGAATCCTGATTCAACTCGCCGAGTCACCTAAGTGACTCGTCGAGTTCATCAAATGTCCAGAAGACCAAAAGTGTATGCAGACCAAAACACTAATCCTTCACTGCACTCATTCAGAATCTCGAAAGCTGGTAACCCTACCTGACTCGTCGAGTCGACTAAGGGACTCGACAAGTTCCTTCAGTCCTTTTGTGTTTAGTCCTTTTTAGTGGGATCTAAGGTCCCAAAATTTAGATCCAACCTCCCCTAGTGCAGTTAACACGTAAAGTTGCAAACTTTACATGCATGCAAGACCTCACAAGGCTAAAAAATCAAAACTAAGCTTCCTACAAGGTTTTAGTGCATGGAAAAGGTCTAAGTTGGATAAAGTTAGCAACTTATGTCATTGGGGACCTAGAGATGTCCAGATCTAGAACCATATCGTTGTGATAAGTCCAAATCCGAGTATGACCCCATTTTGCACCAAAAGTGACCATATTCTTCCATAAAATAAGATCTAAGCAAATAGAGATCAAGGTAGCAACTTTTTACCTCTAAATGGATGCTAACAACAAGTAGATGTTGGATCCAAAGCCTTCTCCTCTCTTTAATCTCCTCAACCTTTAAGTTTCCTTCTCAAAAGCACAAGTTCCACTCTCCAAGGCTCACACACACTTAATAAAGCACCAAAATGCGGCCAGGGTTTCTTTCTGGACTGTAAGAACGATGAAAGAGGCTACAAATGAGCCATAAGTTCTATAAATAGGGTACAAACCCCTAAAAATTAGGGTTTTCCTTTACAACGCCGACTCGTCGAGTCGGGGCCTTCTGACTCGTCGAGTAGGTCTGAGGTCTCGTGCCCTTATAATAATCTCTACTCAACGAGTTGGAGCTCCCCAAGTCGCCGAGTCCAAGCAGAAAACCCTAAAAATTAGATAAATTAAATAATACCAGGAATAGGTGTTACAGATCATGCATAACAATGTTATATCCCTTAGATCTATGGATATAGCTAGTATTCAAAAGAGTTAGTTTTACTATACAAAAAGGCTTAGCAGCGCAGCTTGTTGTCCGTTTGTCATCTCACTCGTTGTACAATGATATCTAAATTAATGGAAATATTTGTAGCTTATTTTATATATATATATATATATATATATATATATATATATATATATATATATATATATATATATATATATATATATATATATATATATATATATATATATATATATATCTGCACCATTTATTAGGTAATTCAAGAAGAAATTCAACTCAATTCGATTCAACTTTTTATTATAGATTTTTTTGATTTCATAAGTGGATATGATAATTTTACTTATATATGATTAATGATTATATTTGTTTTAAATTTCAATGTTTTTTATTATATCAGTCATGTGTTACACGAGTTATAAGTTGGTTATTTATAATATCTAAAATATATTAAGAACGCTGTCCAGCCCACCTTATCGTAACCCATTCCCTTCTAAACCATCTTTCCCCCTTAATTCTTTAACAAAAAATATCACCACCGTCCACAACGGTCGACCACCCACCGGTTAATTGTGAACCACCAATTAAAATCACCGCCACCAATCACAATCACCACACTCACTTGTACCATTATCATTGAATCTCCTCCACCTTACAGGAAACAACCTCCACACTCAGTTGTTCATCATCTTCCTTATCCGAACATAATGCCTGCCCCGTCAAGCACCTTCAACCACCGTGAACACCGACCATCACTAGCTTTGTAGAACACCATCACCACCGCCTCCTAGGGTCTCAAATCTTCGTCTTCATTTATACGTCGTCGTCAATCTCCGTTGTCATTACCATTTACAGTAAACCCTTGATCCATTGCCACCACTGGCATGTTTATTTTTGGCGAACAAAATCTAAAAATCAAAGTACAAAATCCTAGTTCTACCCAGTCACTGCCCACTTGTTTCACTAGCAAATTGAACTTAACTTATTGAGCAATTGAGTCATCGACTTCACCTACAAATCGAACTTGTTGAACGACCGATTCATCGGATTTTGATATTCTTCACCTACTGAGTCATGATTCTGATGGTGAAGATCGGGATTGGGTTATAGAACTAATGGTGCTTGATTTAGGTTGGATACTGATGTTCCCACTAGTTGTTTTCTCTGGAGGAGTTGTGTTTGGTCTTGATGCATGCAAATAGCTACACCTAATTTTAATATCTATAACCTAACTACCTTAACTGACTAATTGCACCTAAGCAGTGTACCTAGTCAAAATTATAGAATAGTTGGGTAAGTTGGGTGTCGATCTCAAGAAACGGTATTTACTAATTAATTTATCTACTACTAAATTAAATATTGCCTAAAATGTGTATAAATATGACAATATCAGGTCTTGCCGAAAAAAAAGGAAGATTTGTTTAGGTAATTGTTGGGAGTGGTGAGAAAGAAGGAAAGGAGACTGGGAAAGGGAAAGAGGAGAGGTTGGTTGTTGGAGATATTTTTTTTTCTTCTTTTTCTTAATCTAAAAATGATAACAAATAAAAGAAAACTAAAAAAAATTATTAAAGATAATATAGTTTTTTTATGTCCCAAATGATGAAATATGCAAGTTTAAAATAAAAAAAAAAAAAAAAAAAAAAAAAGATTCCAAATTAATTTTGAAAAATAGACTGAACGTCTGTGACGAATCGTTTAATTCACTCTAGAATATGTCCTTAATTTTCATTTGGAAGGTATGTTGCACATGGCTCAACAGTCCATGTACACCAAATATAAAAATAAAAAATTCAAACAATCAATCATAAAATTCAAACTTGTTTACATTTTCTACAAAACTTACGTACTTATATATAGCGGACTTGCTTTTGTTCTTCGACAGAAATCTAATTTGAAAGTTAATTGGTTGCTAACGGATTTAGTTTAGTTTTTTACACGACACTTGCATCAAAGTGTGACAATACATGACAACACACCAAATGCATGAATTAAGGTTTTCTACTTTTCTTTACACATTAGATTAATACATCTACCATAAAAGATATATAATAGCAATCATCTTCATAAAACATACGTTAAAAAACCAAGATTTAACGATTTTGCCACCAAATTGATGGATATGATTCCCATTTTGATTGGTTTACTATTGGTGTCATGGAGGAGTAGTGTGGTGTTTGCTCATGCGGACCCATCATCGTGTGCACGGCTAGCAACCATGTTGGCACCATGCGTCGGTTACATAAGCGGTCAACAGCCATCAAGGCCATCAAATTTTTGTTGCTCATCGGTCAAGAACTTAAAAGGCATGATGAAAACAAAGGATGATCGTGTGGTTATATGCAACTGTGTGAAACAAGCGATAACAGTGATAAAATTCGATCCAAAAAGAATTCCTCTTCTGCCTGAGAAATGTGATATTAATGACATACAACTTCCTCCTGTTGATAAGGACTATGACTGCGAAAAGTTAGTTTTCTCTCAATTAAACTTTATTTGAAATGATGATGGATGGATGCTATTCTATATTGTTGAATTGCGTAAATGAATAAAATGATTAGACGACGTTAACGATATTTTTAATTATCTGGCTTGTGTGTATACATTTTTGCAGGACGAAATTGGTACATATGGAGGTGTTATAAGAGCGTGGATCTTAGGCATAATGTGCACCAATGTATTTATGAAATTAAGGTTGTATTTTAATACTTGTTTGGGTACCATGGAATAAAACAAAGGACACTTAGGCACATATTTTGTTATGTGTATGTCATATTCACTACTACAAAATTGACCCATTTGCGACGCCCGAATCCATCGCATTTCTGATGGATTTTTTCTATGGATAAATTTATGTTGGAAAAAGTCAACTTTCTATATGTAGTCAAGGCAGTCAAGTTAACGGAATGCAATGTTTTAAGCTTTAGTTTAGGTATCATTAAACCTCAAGTTTTTACGAAATATGACAAGTTATGTTGTTCGTAAGACGTAATTTAAGACGATATATATATATATATATATATATATATATATATATATATATATATATATATATATATATATATATATATATATATATATATATATATATATTCTACTACAATTTATTTTTATATGTATATATGACTTAATGCGATATTTTTGTTAAAACGTGGACCCACGTACAAGCCTTGGAACCATGACGATTTTTTTAGAACCTTACATGAATATTTTGTGTTCTTTTTATATACGGTGATCATGCGAAAGTTTGTATCATGGAGTGCTCCAATACTTAAATATTTATAAATATACTTTAAAAAAATAACTAAGTTATAATTTTTAACTATGAAAAATGTTATTGACTAACTTAAATATTGATATAAGACGTTGTCATTATTTTAAAGAATCATGCAACAAAAAAAGATATATTATAATATTAGAATGTTGGAGGTTAAGAATATAGAAGTTATGATCTTAACGTTTTTCGTGGTTAAAAGTGTATAAATTTGTGTGTAACTAATGGGTGAGCCTCTAGTGAACCACATGTAGTCCTTCTAGTTGTACGTTTATTGATAATAAACCCAGTATTACTGAATTACGTTTTATTTTATTCACAAATGATGACGATGACAAAACGATGACAAAACGAAACCCAACATGGAAGCACAAATCATTAGACATAAAAGGGATAAAAGGAATGGAAAATTGGTCAAAGGGTGTGAAATGAGAAATATTAAAACACATATGGTTAATTTGTAATGAAAATAAGTAGTAAGATGAAAAAAAGGACAAAAGGAATGTGAAAATGATCAAATAAACTTAAAGTGACAAATATTAAAAGATATGTGTCAATCTCTAATTACAATAAATCATGGACTAAAATTGTCAAATTATACAAAATATCTTAGCAAAATCCTGAAACATACAAAAATACATTATTCCTAATGATCATGCCTATTAATATAATATATAAATTTCCGATCAAATGTAAGAAGTTGTGTATGTTATGTTGGAACCAAATGATGTTGGTGGCATATATCCTTATAACCTTATTTGGGTTGCAAGTGAATTATGTGCAATTTCTGTTTTATATTATATATACATTTTTTTGTTAATTAATTTAAAAACGGCTCATTTGGTCATCTTCAATTTTGATCATGAAGGGTTTTCTAAATACCAACTGTATTTCAAAATTATATACAATATTTAAGTACCAATTTTGTATAATAAGTTAAAAAAAATATTTTAAGTTGGGTCTAGTAAACTTGTTTATCATTTATTCATAATCCGCCCGCAACAAAGTCTTTGCTTATTCCTTCTTAGGTTGAAGGGTGACCTTTTTGAAAACTAATGGGAAGGTGTCGAGCTTGATGTTCACGGGGGGCTATTTTTTCCATCATGTGGTGTTGTTACCAACGAGACCAACATTCTTGACCCTTTTTGTGTCATTACTTTGTTTTTTGTGTTCTCCCAAGTATTACAAGTAAAACCATTACTTATGATAATTCATAGGGATAATGACTTAAAATGGTAATAAATTATTCGATCTGTATATATTTGGTAATTGAGTTTCTTTCATCCACATTTATCCCTTTCAACTTGTTAAACTGTATACATTCAGTCCTTATGACCGACTATTCCAGGTTAAACGGTAAAAATAACTTCATACGGTAATATATTTCTTACTTTGTACACATTTAGCCTTAATATTTTTATACACATTTGATCCTTAATATATATATATATATATATATATATATATATATATATATATATATATATATATATATATATATATATATATATATATATATATATATATATATATATAGGGGAGGGTTCATGCGAAAATGCAAATAATTTGCGAAAACGCGAAAACAAGAAAAACCTATGATATTATGTCACCTCAACATTATATTTTGGAAAATAATTCATCCAAAATTTGAAATACATGATGATAAACTGTTTCATATTACCAAAGTATGATTTTTAACATTTTTATTATGAAAACATGAATTTAAAAATGATTAAGGACGTGAAAAAAATATAATTATAAAAACCGTCTTTAAATCTATATTACCATAACACCATCCAATGTAAACTTACTATCTTTAATTTATTGCTAATAAAATTATTTTTTTGTAGTACATGTGTTTAATTTTCATAAGATAAAATCTGTTTTCGCGTTTTCGCAGAATATTTATATTTTCGCATGAACTTACTTCTATATATATATATATATATATATATATATATATATATATATATATATATATATATATATATATATATATATATATATATAAGTAAAGGTTCAAATGAGAATCAAAAAAGGTTAAGAACCGTAAGAACCTCTAATTTTAAATGTTTATAAAGGGTTTAGAGTTTAGGGTTACCCTAAACCCTTTATAAACATCTAAAGTTAGAGGTTCTTACGGTTCTTAACCTTTTTTGGTTCTCATTTGAACCACTCCCTATATATATATATATATATATATATATATATATATATATATATATATATATATATATATATATATATATATATATATATATTGCAAAATAAGTCATTTTGTTTTTGTATTCATTCAGTACTTATCATTAATTTCTTAAGCTTTTTCTCATGATATCTTACGTGAGACAATCATTAATGAAGTGTTTGGGGTTTTTCATGCTTATGTCCATCATGATCTCGACTACTTGGTTGTTTAAGTCGTATGTTCTGAACGTCATAATTTCTTCATACGATCTCGAATTTTAAAATTTTTATATCTATGCATTCGTATTTTAGTCTACAACTTTTGTTTAGATTACTCCCGTTAAAAGTAATATATTTTTACTTACGATATTTATATCTATATGTTTTTTATGAATGCATGTATGAATTTTTTTTATATAAAATCGTAAGTAAAAATACATTACATTTTAATGGGGGTAATTTTAATGAAAGTTATAGTAGACTAGAAAAACGAACACGCGGATATAAAGATCATTAATATCTGATATCATATGAAGAAGTTACGATTTTCAGAACACAAGACCTAAGTCAAACCACAAAACTTACACAACCAAGCAGTCGTGATTGCGATGGACATAAGCATCAACAGCCCCAAACACATCAATGATTGTCCCATGTAAGATGTTATGACAAAAACCTAAAAAAATCATTCATATATATTGAATGAGTACAAAAACAAAAATGACTTATTTTGAAACAAAAAAAATATATTAATGACTAAATGTGTATAAAAATAATAATGACTAAATGTATACAAAATGATAAATATATTACCCTATGAAGACATTTTTCCTGGTTAACTTGGAGCAATCGGTCATAAGGACTGAATGTGTACAGTTTAACAAGTTGAAGGGGTAAATGTGAATGAAAAAAAACTCAGCGACCAAATATGTATAAATCAAAAAACATATCACCCTTTTAAGTCATTATCCATAATTTCATAATTAGCTATTGATCACAATACAATGAGAGGGAAAACAATCTGACAACAAGTTCCACCGTTAAATATTTTTGTATGATAAATCGGTTTGAGTTTTTAATGTTTAACAATTATAAACTATAAATAAGAAGAATATTAACAAAAATAATATTTTCCGTTCATACTTTTTTTGAATCATATTATTTTTGGATCATAAAATTTTAATTCAAATTACTTTATATCATAATATTTTGAATCCAATCATTTTTTAATCATATGATTTTGAAGCAAAAACGTTTTCAAATAAATAAAGTTTTCATTCAAAAAATATGGATCATTATATATTATGAATCATTTAATTTTGAATCATAAAATATATAATGAAAGATTATAAAATATTTAATTCCAAATATTTTTAGATAATACAAAATTAAGAATCATAAACAAGTTGAATTAAATTTTTTTTTTAATCATAAATATTTTGAATCATCACATTTTGGATCATATTATATTCAACATTTAAAAAAACTAATATTTTTTAAAATTAAAAATAAATACTTTAAAAACTTATTTTTTGAATTTTATATATAGAGTCACTAGTATATTGAATAGAAATATCCCTTTAATTTTTATGATATTTTGAGAATTTTTTTCTAGGTTTTTTTATTAAAAAAATAAATAAAATATTTTTTTTTTCAAAATTTCACGATTGTACTCATTTTGTAGAGAATTACATTTTAAGAACTTTGTTTTTTTTTTAGATTTGTTTTTTCAAAGAGGAAAAAAAAAGTTATGGCCAAAGGCTCGTGGGTTTATGACTAGACTTGAATGAAAATGATTGTTTTCGGACCGGTCTTGTGAAAAAAAAGAGACTGAACCGGTCTAAAACTAGACCAAACCCAAAAAAATGGTCCCAGAAAAGAAGACTAACCTGAGACCGTTCGAAAAAAATGATCAGTCTGAGACTGATCTAAAAAAAGACCAGAAGTCAAAGTTTATATACATTTCATTTTTTGTTGATTACACATTTTTTAATTATATTACCCAATTTTCTCTTTCTTTTATTAAAATTTAGTGTATCGTTTTTTGTAAATCTTAATGTATTTTTTGGTGATACTTACACATTTGTTAACGGAAAAACTCAAAAATGGGGCAAAAAAGACAAATAATATCAAACTCGAACTGAAAAGACGCACGTAAAAACTACAAGACTAGACCAGAAAAGAAAACACTAGCTCGAGACAGTCCGGACAGATCCGAAAAAACCTAACTCCAAACTTTCCCGAAACTTGTTCCAAAAGATTGGATCGTTAACTAATAAGCATCTATATTCATCACCTTAGGGGTGTTTGAGATTACTTTTTAAGGACAAAAGTTCGTTTTTGTAAAAATTGTTTTTTATTTTAGTTTTAAGGAGCCAAAACCAAAAGTTGTTTTTTAAAAATGTTTGGCTGAATTTTTTGACTTTTGAATATATTTTACATTTTAAAAATCTAAAAATCATAATAAAAAAATAACAATTTCTTAA